AGACAAGCATTCAGTAATAGTTCAAGGAAAGCCTTTTTCTTTATATTGGTTGCAGTGACAGCCCCACAGTGTTACCTGAAAAAGGTGCTGTTGAGTGACAACCAGGTGCGTTGTTAGGTGAACCACAACACAAGTTACTATGCAAGTTGCTGCATGATACATTTGAGAAGGGAACCTGTAAAACCCCCATCTGTGAGGTTCAAAAGAAAATAAAGTTGCCAAGAACTAAGAAGTTTGGCAGTTCAGTCTTAAGACATATGTAACACTTCCAAAAACATCTCATTTTTCCAGCCTTTCCCCTGGCATGGCACAGTAATCAATCACATGCCCCCTTACAGGTTGTCACATGCCATTTTGCATGTGGTTGGCTAAATTTATGCAGGATTACACAAGATGCAAAGTCTAAATGTGACTGACAAACATAACCCTTTTTGCTGATATCACAATCTTTGTACCCATCAGAAGCTGTCTGTGGCCTTGCTAATACCTTTGCGGTTGTAGCTGTCATTGCTTATGTTGCTGGAAAACTCAAGTTTTCTAGCTTGAGTCACAGCTATGCCCGAGGAAAATGTGCATTTCAGAGAGTTTTCACTTGTGAACTTGTCAGATTTCCACATTACCTTTTGGAAACAAGTGTGTAAAGTGAACAGAGGTGAACCTTGGCTGCCCTGCACAGATGAGTGAGCATGAGCAGCGCCTGAGCTGGGGATTCATTTGTGTGCTTCCTGAGTTGATGTTATCAGCAGAGAAGGTTTTTACCTCGAGGTTGGTCTCAGGATTAGATGCCAAACTGCTCAGGTAGGCTTCAGTTGCAGTGTGTAACACAGCTTTGACTGAGTGACTGCATTGGGTTTGTGCACTGTTTCACTCAGAGTTTGTCCTCTGCCTGCTACTGCTTCCTGTGTGTGTGGTTCAGGGAGGTAGCTGGAATTTTCTCCTATTGCCTGCTCTGATTGCAGACCAGTGTGTGGTAGGAATGTGTCTGCCTTGGTAAATCAAATCTTGCATCACCCATCAGCAAGTATCATCGCTGTAGCTATGGTGTCATTACATTTGACAGTATAAAAAGCATTGGTTGTGTGAAAAATGATTTGAAACATCCTCAGAGTCAGTGACAGAGGAGATATGATAAGTATTTGAAGGGGTTAGAGATTTTTTCGGATTTTGATCTAGACTAACATTGGCATAAAACACTCTGGAAAGCAGTTAGACTGCATCTACTTTATAGTGGACTTGCATATCTGCAAAGAAATACAAATGAAATTGTGTGGAAAACATAATTTTTTATGTGTAGCATAAATGTATGATGGAGATTTGAGCTAAAACTAGTTTTAGTTTTGTGGCCGATGTAGCTTCAGAGAAAAACTAATGCTGTTGGTGAATGTCCTTATATTGCAACTTTTCTTCAAAGGACAGGCTTTAGTCCAGTCAGACTTATTTGGTACCAGCTTTATTACAGAGAGTAAAGTAGTAGATTTCATTTTAGAAAAAGCTAATTTCCATTTGTGGTGGAAAGTTTACACGTAACTCTTGAGAAATATTTATTTAAAAAACATCCCAACAATGCACACAGAACCAAGCCAAAGCAACACAGTTTTAGGGAACTGCTTTATACTTTAAGTTTTGAAATTATGTCTTATTTTATGGTTATTTCTTTACACACAGCTTCCAGCATATGCCACAGTCACACAAAAGCTGCCCCTGATGACCTCTGATCTGACAACACTGCAGCAGGAAATATCCTCACAGTGTATTTTTTTGACAGAACAGAAGTGAGGAAGGAGATCTGTGCTTCTGTGTTGGCCTCTGGCAGTTAATTTGCTGACCTTGTTATGCCTAAACTATGAACTGGATCAGACCTGAAAACTCAGCAATGATCTCTGATACGGCAGAGTGAACGTGGAGGAAAGTCATGTGCAATCACTGAAGTTGGAGGGAATAGCATTTTGGGGAACAGGATTTGGCAGTGACTCCAAGGGACAGCTCCTGACTGCACTGAACATTTTTTTCCAGACTAGGGATTAATTTAACTCTGCATGGCTTTATAATATCCAACCACTGCAGTGCTTGTGGCTATGTACTGTATTAATCATGAGCGGATCTCACTCTGAATGACCACCACACTGCATCCCTGTGGCTTAGGAGTATGCCTGCTTCTGAAAGCAAAAAGCAATAGCAGAATAAATAGATATAAAAAATTTAAATATATATAAATATAATATGTATAAATATAATATTTTTATTCATATAGGTGTTGCTCATAGCTTCTACCTTTACAGAAAGTGTGAAAAAATGAGGTAATGGAATCACTGAGTAATTGTTGACCTGGTTTGATTTCTACATAACCTTCCATACCTTGTCCCCAAACACAGGTTGCTCTCCTAAGCTATTTTTTGCAGGTTTTATGAATCCCTTGAAAACAGTCAGGTGGACCTCAGGGATTTGCAAACAGAAGGTTGGAATCCACATCTGTGGGTGTCAGAGCAAAAGTGACTTGTATGCCATAAACTTATTGGATTTTTGCTTCTCTCAGGACTGGGTTTGAACCAAAGCTTTTCTTTAGACACTCCAAATCCTCCATCTGGTACCTTGTATTCGGGAGAGACAAATGAAAGACAAAGTTTGATCTTCTGCATTTAATGGGCTTGATTCTGACTGTACATCTGTTGCTTCACTGACTTCAGTAAAGAAAGAGTGCTTCTCTGTCTTTCTATAATTTCAGAATTGGGCCTGAAATTGATACTGGTATCACAAAAAGGAAAATACTGCTAGGAACTAACAGTCAAGAAAAATGACAGAGCCTGGTTTTGAAAATGAAGCTAATTTATTCACTTGCTCCCTTGGCGGTGAAGCAGAAAGGAGTGGAAAGGGTGTGAAGTGACAACAGTGATGAAAGCTGTGGCATCCTTCTGTGGGCAGGCACTAAGGCTCTTTTAAAAATGTGAAGTGAGGTTTGTGACACAGAGTCACCATCTTCTGAGAAAATTCTGGATTTCTAATGTTAGGCTTAAGGCTCAAGAAAAAAAAATTGCATCACTTCTGCCCACTTCTCTTTCTTGTCTTCTGTATTCTGCTGCTTGGCATTGGCCATTAGCAACAGAATCACATTTGGTGTGTGGGGATCCCTATAAAAGTACTCGGTTCAGCTCTTCAGCTGGAAACCAGCAAAATCCCAGTGCTGGTGGGTGTTCTGGAAGCACTTGCACAGATGGGGTTTCTGTTGTCACTCGGTCTGCAGTGACCAGAGCCTACCTCAGACCAGGGGGGTCACCACTGTGACCGCATTGGCTCAGTTCTTGTTGAGAAACCTGGGGAAAATTAACCACACTGTCTGATGGCACTGAGTTAATCTTCCATGCTTGCATGCTTAAATTAGCTTGGCAAACAAGACTTACCCTGGAGGGCAGCAGTAGATTTTAACGTGGCAGGTAGAGTAGCAGGCACTGCTATGCCTTGGGTACACATAGCACTTTCAGTGTGCCTTCATCTGTTGAACCCATGGTCAGACCAGCTGGTCTCTTCCCTGACTCCATCCTGGCATTGTTCAAGCTTGATGGGAAGCATGGCCTGATTTAAGTTGTCAGGTTTTTTGTGTTGACCTGCTTTTTTCATGCTACCTTGTTGCTCTCTGCCACCCACTGTTCTCTCTGTCTATACTGGCCTTGCTGACAGCTCTTCTTCTTGTGGCTTCTCCAAAGAGGGCACTGAGAGCTAACACTGTCTTCTAGCTGATCAGGGACCCTGGAACTGCTTCTCCCAGCTCACACCTTGGAGCAGGCATTACATAAAGCTCCTTTCTCAGTTTTCTGGGTTCTTGGCTTTTGTATCCTGATGCTGGCAAGTCTTGGCTGTGATTAGGTGGAGCCTTCACCCAGGCATGTGTGGGTGATTTGTCATAAGTTCAAACCTTATCACCAATGATAGTTCACTTATACTATATAATACATTTGTGATACTGTCTATAAAAAAATACATCTAGCTTAGTAAACTCCTGAAAAGGAGTGTGTTAGTCTCTGCCAGTTTCTCCTTTCTGTTTATCTTTCCTCCTTTTCACTAGATTCTAGCAGAGTGCTCCTCTACTTCTTGGCTTTCCTGTCCTCCAAAACTTTCAAGTTGAAAGATGCTGACCAGATTTTGCTTTATGTGCTAGGCTTGTGAACACAGTATATCAGTGTATTTAAATAAACAAAACTTTGGTATAATGGGGAGGGAGGGAGAAGCATAGATGATGTCAGATGTGGAATCCTGATCAATCTACATCAGATCTGTGTAAGACCCTGGGCAGAGTGGCAAAACCCCATGGTCATATCCTCTTTTTCTAGGCTGGGTATGACTGCAGCAGCAGCCAGCTCCTGCATGCTTTTTTTCCTTGAGTGTATGTTGTCCATACCATGACAAACTGGCTCAGAGCAGTCCCATCTATACCTAGATCTCCTGTTTCAAGAAGGATATGGGGCTTTCTATGACATTTAGGGCACTACTAATCAGGGATCAGTGAGGATTCTTATGTCACTGAATGAAATTTGAACTTTGAAATTTGAACAGATTTTGAGTTATCCTGTCTTTGCAGTCATATCCCCAGAAATCTGTTTTACCTTCTCCCAGAAACATTAAGAACAGAAGAGCATCTTGCCTCATAAGCAAAGCTGGTAGAATGATAGAGCCTGTAAAACAATGTTTTTAATAAGGGACATCCACCTTCCCTCAGTTTCACTGCTGGCATTACCCCAGATCAGTGGTGTAATCCTTTTTCTCCTGTTTCTGGAGAACCTATTTCAATGTCTCACTGCGTCTGTTTCCTGCTCCATTCTGCTTAGAGTTTTTCATCTCATTATGTGAATCAGGCAACTGCTGGGATACTCAAAACCATTGAACCCTTTCAATTTGAGTTGTAGGCTTTCCCCATCTGTGCTGATAGCTAACAGGGCTTCGCTTTGCCATTCTTCTACTTGTATGTTTAATGTTTCTGCAGTGACTCTTTGCATTTTCTGTTTACAGTGCTGTGACATTCAAAGACACCGGTGAAGATCAAAGCCAGGTTGAGCCAGCAATTTACAAAGCCCAAGTCAATGAGAAAACATGGTATGTATCCCAGAGAGCTTTACTTCCTATGTGATGATTAGACTTTTTTAAGAACTTTATATAGGGCTGTCAGAATGCGAGAAGTTGTCTAGTTTGACTGAAAGGAAGGAAAAAAAGACAAGTTCCCTGGTAGGAATTTAGGTCATGACTAGCATGAGCAGCCTCCTGCCTCACTCCTCCTCTCCCATTCAACTTCAGTATTTTTGAGCAAATAATAAGAAAGTTTCCTGCAACCTATAAACCTGTAAACCCGAACACTAAGAGTAGAGGCAACTCCTGAATCTAATTCAGAGGAGCAGTGCACTGCAGGACTCCCCAGTAACACATGCCACAGATGTTTGTCACTGCTATTTTTTTCTTTCTTTAGTGGCTCTAGCATCTTGTTGAGTGCACAGCACACAAGAAGTGACCAGCATTGCTCTCAACTGCCTGTTATTACCTCAGGACGGGCTCTTACTAAAATATTCCAGCACCATTTGCTGTATTCTGAGTATATCGTACTCTTCATAGATGTTTGCAGATTGCTAAGTTAGGATACTAAGCAACTATGAAATGGAAGCATTTCATGAATTTAATTTTCTGATGTTCAAAGCACAAGGGAAAAGTACTGGTATTAATACAGTAGAGTCTCCAGGATAATTTTGCATGAAAAAGTTACGGTTAAATAATTTGAGTAAACTCTGCAAGAGCAGACTGGCCTGTGCAGCAGCCTGATTACCATACCAGGAGCCATATCACTGAGAGCTCTGTGGCCCTCAAGTGAAAAGTTTCATTTCTAAAAGGATCTTGGAATCATTCTTCCCCCTGCTGTTTTCATCATTTGACAACTGCCTTCACAGCAAGACACCATTTCCTTCTTGGCCTCATCTCACTCATTCAGTACCCACCTGGAACAAGCCAGACAGGTTTTCTACAGGCAAACAACAGTGTCATTTGAAGTAGATTTCTCTCAAAGCAGGACCCCTTTTGTACCTTTTTAGACAGGGTCTTAGAAAGTCAAGAAAAAAAAAACAACGTAGCTTAAAGATCCCCCATTTCTATGGGTCTTAGTAAACGGACCTGCTCGGAGTGTTTGAGGGATTCTGAGATATTTCTGATGGCAGCTGTAACTGTAACATTTTTCTCACCCATTTTGTGTCCTTCCCTCGAGGTTTACATTTTCACTTGCTTTCATGCAGAAAATAAATTCCATGGAAAGGAAACTCTTAATAACTAGCCTGTAGTAAAGAGTATGGCATAAGTGGCATAACTCCTTCTGTCTGAGAAGCATGAAGATTGCGTCACTGAAGACTGTGCCTGTGAGTAAATTAAATTAAAAAAAAAAAAAAAAACAAGTTCAGGAAATTAAATTCATTATAATGATAATGGAAAATTCTAATTTTCCTTGCTGCTGTAGTCATGCACATTTTAATTGCTGCCTGAAAGAGTCAACACCTTGTAAAGAAAATAAACATCCTCTTCTCTTAAGACACTCCTCAGTTTTCTAGGGATAGGTGGTGGTCTGTTTTACTGCTAGCCTGGATCCAGTCAATGCCTGAGCTTGTGGGTTTCAGGGAATGTCTGCACTTCCAGGTACCATTGGCTGTGCACATTGAAAAAATCCTGTGACATAACTCCACTGAATAGAATGGAGTATCCAAGCTGTATTTCAACCTGGCCTGTTACATAGTGTTACATTCTGTTCATCTTTATTTAACGTGGGTAAACGTGGTTGAAATGTTTGTAGCCAGAGGAGGAGACGGCTGCGCACTTCAGTGCTGGGGATGGCAGGCTTTGGTGGAACAGAGCAAGGAGCTAAGAACAGATAATTTTGCCCAGTTTCATTTGTTAATCGGTTTATTTCACTTTCTCCAGTTTTGCAAATCAGACATAATCAGATTCCCTTAATAGCTTGATAGATCTGTGTGTTCAATTATACAGAGCAACGTTATTCATAGGTCCTTTTAATTTCCCCATATAGACTAGTCTTATTAATATTTATTTTATAATCTACTTACCAATTCAGAGTGGGTAATCTCTGTCTAAATGAAGCTGCTGTTCATACAGAGCTCTCTTTGTTTTCTTTGAAGAAATCATAGTAGCACTTAACATTATGAAAACCTTAAAGCACAAAAAATATAATTGTGAAGCATCATTAACAATGCCAGTGCCCAGAATGTTTGTCTACGTGATCTTCAGGGTCCCTTCCAGCCCAAATCATTCTGTGTTGCCAAAACAACTGGCAGGAGGGAGCATGCTGAAGCCTCAAGTTCAGAAACACTGAACCACGTTAGGTCTCGGCCCCTGCCATTGTGTTTAGCTATAAAAGTCTTGTTAAGATGTTTAAGAAGCCATGTGCTTGGATAACGGTGGATTTCCTACTGAGGTCCCAAATGACCTAACCTCTGCTTCCTTTCACCCCTTGGTTCTAATCAATGGTAGCAGAGGGGTGGGGGAAAATATTGAGCAGGCTTCTTGAAAAATGCAGGGTGTGACCTAAGGATGATTGCACCTTCTTCCTATTCTGGGCATTGGGATGGTTCTTGAAACATGAGGAACTGTGTCTGTAGAACCAACCTGGAATATGTTCACTGTATGCTTCTTGGAAATTTGTAAGTGGGTATTTGAAGGACTTAGGCACCCTTCAGTGCCTGTCAGTGGTAACAAGTGTTTTGTGAAGCATTTAGGCACACGCACAAGCCTGTCCCTACTCAGTAAAGCACTTCACTGTGCTTTTAAGCCCCTTGATTTCTACTCCTGGGTTTATCAGCAGGAGGTTTTTCAAAGGTAAGAGGCTGTCCTTATCTCACAAATGGGCTAAGCTGCCTTATGGCAAAATAGTTCTCAAAACTGTTTGTTCCACAAAATGTTTATGTTGTTCTCCCTCCTCTGCTGCAGTGGACCATTCCTTTCTTATCTGTGCATTTGGGAAATATTGATTCTAACAATGTCACTTCTACTGTTTATTCCCTCAAACTGGCACAAAAAATCCGGTGTATTTTCCCCAGTATTGAGGCATTTGCAGGATGATGCATCCATGCCAGTCATTACCTCTGTAAATGTTCCTGTTCTTGCATCAGCTTGTTCAGGACAGTTCTTTTGGATGTGCACAAATGAAGCAAGGAAGATCAAACAGATGTTAAAGCAGGAAGAAATGTCTCATATTTCTTCATAAGATTTTGTACAGAAAGACACCACATTGAGATTGAAAACACCACATGGATTCTTGCAGCTACATGGAAACTTTTTTTGCTTCTATCCCCTTTTTGCCCTGAATAGCTGGGCAAATTTTGGGGTGGAGGCAAAGGATGTCCAGGTTTCCCTGCTGACTGCCTTAGACTGGGGATGATGCCAGAGGTTTTTGACATCATTGGAGTCATCTTTTCTGATGTTCTTTGTAGTCCTGACTAAAGGGCTTCATCTGGTAATGCTGAACTAAATTATCTCCAAAAGTACCCATTTGTGACATAGAAATAAGAAAGCATTGTACATCCCTCTGTAAGCTGGGCAAGTGTCTACTCTCACAGTGTAAAAATGTGCACTTTCAACTCATTTCACTTAGTTTTGGATCTCATCACGAGTTTTTGTTCCAAGTTAAAGCACAGTAACCAGGAAGGGATAACAAGAGAGATTAGGGATGTGGAAAAACTTTTTTATGAAAGACTGACAAGATTGATGCTGTTCAGTATGAAGAAGCAGTAAATAAGAACAGATATGAAAAGGTCTCTTATCATTTGATACTGTGAAGCCAAGAGGGGCCTCTTGCCTTTGCTCCTTCTGCCATGACAATAGGAGATAGAGATATTCATTTAAATGAAAGACCTAACATCTGTTTGAAAGGAAATTACTTATTTTTTCCCTACCCCATATTTTCAGCTGTTTCAAGATATCATAGAGATGAAGAGACTAGTGAGTTTTTTTTAAAGCATGCTTGTTCACAGACAGAATACTCCATTATAAATCAAGTGTGACAATACTACAAATAAACCAAAGCCAAAAATGCTTACAATATTTGAAAGAATCTTAGTGTTTCGGTGCCATTGTTTGTAAGCAAAGCTCCTGTACTTTCAGAGATTTACTCCATGTAATATAAAATGTAACAAGAGTCAGAGGGATCAGAAACACAAAAGACCTCATGGAAATGCAATCTCTGAATAATGTTCCTTCATAAATATATAAACAGCTTCTATGAGCATCAACTGGACATAAAGTATTGTACTATATCTAAGGCATAAAACAGTAAAGGAAGTTTCATATAATCTTAAGACTGCATACCTGAAATTTTTTTTTTAGTTTTAGAGTTTAAGAAAGGAAATTTACTATGTGCTTTAAATTTTGGATTGAAACCCTTTGAGGTTCCTCAGAAGCTTCTGGTGCTGGCCATGCAGCCCCAGCATCCTGTTTCAAGAGGGCTAATGAACTTTGGTAAAGAAGCTAATGTGTCCTGACATCCTTTGACCTGTTTTTCTTAAATGTCAGATTTTTTTAGGTTGAATAATCTGTGTCTTTGTATTGTATTATGAATGTGAAAGGCTTTTCTCTGTGAGTTGGACAGTGAAAGTTACTTAAAATGAGGGATAAATTGTGTCTCCTGGTATGCATGTAAGTAGGTATTTAGTTGAGACACCAGTAGTTTCAATGTCTAATTGACATGGTTCTTGAGGTTTAGTATATTCTTCTCAGAGAACTTGCTGATGTTTTCATTTTCTGCTGTCTTTCCAGTTTAGCAGCAGAGATGATTCGATGTTGAGGTTCTTAGCATGCTTTTGTTATTTACAGATGACATGGGTAATCTAGAAACTTGTCCAACAAAAAAACCAACCGTGCAGCCAAGTGAACTGGAAATGAGAAGTGTATCTGGTGATGACTCCAAAAAATGGCAGTCCACTTAAAAAAGAAAACAACACAAAGACCAACAAAAAGAACTCACTAGGAACTCCTTGTAGAAAAGGTTTGACAGGTCTGAAAACATTTGGCAGCAGATGTGTCAGCAAGAGTTTTATCCTACACCCTGATTTGCTTTCTGATTCCTTAATTGTTGAGCTGGGCTCTGGTATTTTAGTTATACTGTAAGAATCCTGGCTCTAGAAGGGTAGTTGCACTCATTTGGTGGTGTTAAATTTAGCATTCATCTCTCTGACTAAACTCTGCCATGAGGGCTTAGTATGCAGTCATTGAATCCTCTGCCTGTAGGTGCCTCAGGGCTGCAATTTTTTTGGTTTTCCCATCTAGTATTGTGCTGCATTCCTAAAGGTATCAAGGTATGAGGGGAGAGAGGGAATAGGGGGAGACTGATGGAGAAACCTGAAAAGAAGGAACTCACAGGAAGGGAGCCAACAAGAAAGATGGAGAGAGATTCCAACAGGATGAGGTTCAACAAGGCCAAGTGCTGGGTCTTGCACTTCAGTCAAAACAAACCCCTGCAGCCCCATGGGCTGGGGACAGAGTGACTGGAAAAGAGAAGAAACTCAATTACCCTCTGCATTTTCAGCTGAAAAGGATGAGAAATTCAAGGATAGAGCAGGCACGGTGGGGGCCTCTCTGGGAGAGAAGCAGGGTCATCTCAGCACGGAAAGCTGCTTGAGATCTCACAGCCTCCAAAGTTAGCTTCCATACAGAACTGAGCCAGCTGTTTTGCTTCCCCCTTTTTTAAGAAAACATTGCCAACAAAGAAAATCTGAGCAGTCTGTTCCACACCTAGGCCTGAGTAGGAAAATGGGTGGTCCACGGGCAGAACTGGACAGTATTGCTTCTCAGAGCTGTACAGTGTTTTGTTCCTTGGTTCTCTTGCTGTGCCCCCCAATTGTGTAGGAAGGCTTTTCAGATGAACATTCCTATGCAAATGTTGCAAACATAAGTTGCTACAGGAATGACCTTCAATGGAGAGTCTGTGGTAGCAATGGCAGAAGATTATAGTGCTTACAGTCTGAGACATCAGCCCCCAAAACTTATATGTCAGTTCAGCCTGGAGAAAAGGAGGCTCAGGGGGAACCTTCTCACTCTCTACAACTCCCTGACAGGAGGGGGGAGCCGGGGGGGGTTGGGCTCTGCTCCCTGGGAACAAGGGACAGGAAGGAGAGGGAACGACCTCAAGCTGTACCAGGGGAGGGTCAGGTGGGATATTGAAGAAAATTTCTTCACAGAAAGGGTTGTCAAACATTGGAATGTGGCATTTGAGGACATGGTTAGTGGTGAAGCTGGTGGTGGCGCTGAGTTCATGGTTGGACTTGATCTTCGAGGTCTTTTCCAACCTAAACCACTCTGTGATTCTAATAGAGTAAAACCAGATCAGTTGTTTCACTTGTTTGACTTTGTGAAG